GTCCAGCCCTGTCACAAGGTCTTCCTCTCAGAGTTTCAGGGGTTCTTCACTTGGATGAATTATAGGAAGAGTATTATTTAATTATTATTGGTAAACATTGACACAAATTCTTTGGAATGTATAGTTTTACTGCCATTACAATTTTCGTATTTTAATTGAATAATGTTATAATAAAGCAATTAAAAATGTAACGAAATTGAAAAAATATTCGATGCATTAAATATGCAAAATATAATATCTAGTAGATTAATCTTGTTCTAATGGCTTAGTCATCTAGTTATAGGAATATAATCTGAATATATTATTGAAAACGAAAACAACCTTCAGAAAGAATAAACGGATTAAATATTACAAATACAACTTGTTGTCTAAGGAGAAAGGTGTTTATAAATAATTCTTGGAATAAATCTTTATAATATAACCTAACCGATATTATAATCTTTTTTTTTTGTTTGCATTGATATCTAATTTTATTAAATATTCACAAATTACTGCAGAAAGTTATTAAACTAGCATTATTATGTAATTTACAAATTAACTCTTTATCAGGTACACAAAGAAAGCTTTATAGAAAAGAGTAGTTTGTACAACAAGAGTGAATATGATGGCCATATCGCACGAAGACGAAATTTAAGCACGACGCCATAGGCGGAGTATATCATTTTAGCATTAAAATGATCATAAATTTTATCTATTTAACACCATCATTAGCCTGTTATACATATACAGGGTGTTTTATCAGTGCGTAATCGATCGATATTTGTTTTATTATTAAAGATACGAAGACATTTTTAAGTTGTACGACCATATTTTAAAATTATTCTTAAGTATACAGGAAAATTCATAACTGAGTGGTGGAAAAACTTATACTATTTTAAAATAAAACCCTCTTAAAGGGCTTAATTTTTTTTATAAAATTGTCCCTGGTCCCCACCTGGCTATCGGAGGCTCTGAAAGTAACAGAATTTCAAACATCTGTATTCAGGATCGAACACAAGTTCCTATTTGAAACTCTCAAGATACTGTATAAGTTGTCTTACGTTACTGCAATGTTGACAACAACATAAATTACTAAAATTTATTTTTTTAAACTGTTTTTAAAACCATGTTAATAGAGTTACGTGACAATTTTAATTTTAAATAACATTTAATTTGTTTTGACATAAAATTTAGTGCATTCATAAAAATACAATCATATTTTATTATTTAAATTATCATACCTTTTCGTAGTATTATTATTATGTGGATTCTCACATGTAAATCCAACACTCACAAAAATTAAATCCACACATTGCAAAACAAAAAAATTCAATACAACAACAAACGGTGATCCAATTTTATTTGCACATATAAAACATAAACTAATAAAAGTTCGAACATATAAATATATAACTCTCGTTCTAACGACCTTTAGACCGCCGACACGTAGGTACTTTGCTACCCGGTACCTATTTCATTAAAAAAAATATTCACCTTTGATCCGTCTGCAATGCAACGTAAAGTGCGTCAATTATAAATATCGTAAAAGTGAAAACAAAACAGAGCATGTAAGTCGGTACTCCACTATGCAACTGTTTACCGGTAACTGACAATCACCTGTTGCTTGCTTACCTAACCTGCCGGGTCCCCACTCGATAGCGAATAGATAGGAAGAGATAGCAATTTACTAGACTTTGCGACTTAGGTATATTAGGTAGTACCTTTTGTATAACAAAAAGGTATTTTATTTCATAATTGAATAAATATATTTTCTAAAAATAATTGGTGAAAAAAAAGGTACATTTGTACCCAAACGCTATGGGATAAAATACCTTTTGCCCTCATCACTTTAAGGTTGCAAAATAGCTGAATTACTTTTGTACTTAGGTCTGGAAGGTTTGTAGAAATCAAGAACTGAATACCATAAACCTAGAATGGCTTTGAGATTTTGAGAATCTCAAAACTTTTTATTTTTCAGACCAGTTGTAAGTAATTAGTTTACATAATAATTATGCATGAACCTTATGTTTAATGCCATTTGTTCATCTGCCCACTCAATCTAACAAATCTAACACAGTCTTGATAATAAATAGTTGCAACAACAATTCTCAAAAATAGTTTAACCGAGTTTGCATCTGTTTCCTCCAGTTTTTACAACCCTCTTATGATAGTTTCAAATTTGGTGGAATTTCTCGCATTTTGAATGCTTTGTCCCGCGAACCAGGACAATTTGAATCATTCCACAAATTTAATTAGTAAATCTATTTATTTCAGATTTTAATTTTTATTAGAATGAACCTTTCTGAAGGCCTCACCAATATGTCTCATGAATATTCCCACAATTGTGGTCTTGGTGATTGATTAACCTTTCGAATATCTACGTCTTCAGGATATTTTGAACGATTTCACTAATTTAATCAGTAACCCTATGATTTTTAAAATTTTTATTTTTATTAGAATGAAGGCTTCACCAAAATGAATATTTCAAGAATTGTGGTCTTGGTTATTGATTAACGTTTCGGGGAGAAGGGAAAGCCTAATGGGGGTAATTACCCCCAAGAATTTTTAAACCTAACTTTAAACTCCGAATGCGCCACTGCCTAGTGCTACCGGGTGGTAAATTAAAAATAATCTAAAAATAAGTGCAACGATGTAAACTTGAACATATTTTTTAATTTCTATAAAGATTTTCAATTTGCTTTGTACACTAATAAATATTTAAAAAAATGTAATCTTAATTATTGATACAAGACTATTAATCGGTGGCTTTTTTTTGTAAGAGGCTTTTTTTGTGTTAAGAGATATAAATATTTGTATATTATACCTACTATTTATTTATATTTTTGATTTTTAAATATAAGCTTTTTATCTTCTTTATTGCCTATTATTTCAACCTTCATTTTCCGTTATACACTTTCTGAAGTTTGAATTAAAAAAAATCTGATGTTTCCAACACAAATATTAATAATAATAATAATAATTATTATTGTTTACTATTACTAGATAGGTACCTACTTAAATAATACAAGTTTATAAAATATATGCATAATTTAAAGAATTTTGAAGGTGTGTATCAAATTTATTATTTATATTAATTGCAAATCCCGTAAAAATGATGCGACACTGGTAATAGTGTACAGGCATTTCCCCTCATAACGTAAACAAACCCTATTGAATGCAGGACTCTATATGCTCGAAGATAGGAGGTCGGTTATAAAATGACATATATGTACTTAATGCCTAGTAGGTAAAGGTACTTAACCACGAACAGAGAAGTAATTTTTCACTCGATGGGAGGGCCAATTTTCGATTTGTAGGAACCTTTTCCTATAGGAATTTGTGAAACTTTCCTATATGTACGAAAATATCATAAATTTCTGATATATATAGAAAATTGTAGAAAATTCGTTGAGGAACAAGTACCTAAGAGTCGAAAATCGACCCTCCCCCACTGGGTGGATAATACCCAGTTTTGTGTCTATTTTATATCAGGCAAAATAATGTTGAGTATATAGATTGCGATATCTATGAAATAAGTTTTAAAACTTACCTACTAAATTACAGATTTTTCAAATCAATAGGAAGAAATCTTTAAAAATAAAATATCGAGAAACTTATAACAGATGGCGCTTAACCATAATCTACCATTTTCAATCCAACATAAAAATGTATGAATTATTTTAAATATCAAAAATTTTGCACTATTCAAGTTGGTAATCTGTTTATAGAAATTTTGTATGTATTTATGTAAAATTTTATTCTACAAATAAACATTATTATTACACACAGACATTATTGCGAAAATAAATAAAACGGATTTAGGGGACCCAAAAACGTAAAAATACGTCGAAAACTCCCAAAAAACCATAATTTATATACTTTTCTTATATGTATACAAACAGGAAAGTAAAAATTACTTGTATTTACCCTATAGCGATTTTTCTTCAGACTTAAGGCTGTATGTCACGATACTGAATTAAGTACTAAATTTAGAACTAAATTAATGCATTTTTTAAGTACTAAAAAAATTCACGTTGCAAACAGCAAATTTAGTACTAAAAAAAGTCATTAATTAATTAGATCTTGTTCTATTTTCTACTAAATTTAGTACTAAAAGTGCGCCGAAATGTTGCGCAGAAGTTTTTCATAGAAAAAGTTGACACGACGGTATTTTCTGTACCCTTTTATTTTTAATTAGCGACAATTTCACATTATCGCCTTGAATAAAGTTCGCCTGTTTGATTTTGTAGGTTTTATTGTGTTTTTCCGTGGTTTTTATGCTGTATTTGGTTGTCAAGTCAACTAGTATCAAATTGATATTTAGGCATTCCAAACAAATGAATTACCAGTGGGCAGGTTTGGTATATCTAAGGGTGGCGACATATGGTGTATTCTATCTACTTTACGTAAAATCATGAATAATGGATTACATTTAAATATTTTATGTCAAATACAATAAAAATAATATTTAAAAAACCCACCTATACATTTCTTCATAAATTGGCAGGCTTGGCGAGTACTACTTCGAATAAAAATAGCGTCCAAGTTGCAAGACTATGTCGCTACTCCCTTAAATATACAAGAATTTCCCACTGGCACCTATTGTTTGACAGGTCGTTGGAATGCCTAATAAAAACACCATTTACTTCACTTGTCTGTTTTACACAGAATATTTCATTTCTCTGCTAATTTCACGTATTAATACGTCAATGCGCGTGCGCCCATAGTAAATTTAGTACTAAAAATTGGTATCGTTGCAAACGGAAAAAAAATATTTTTAGTTCTAAATTTAGTACTAAATTAATGACTTAATTTAGTGCTAAATTTAGTACTTAATTTAGTATCGTGACATACAGCCTTTACTCAAGGCACCAAAGCAAGTCTTGCCAACTCGTACCATCAGATCTAGTTACGCCACTGATTAGCTGCCTTGTCATATTAATTATATTTTCTTGGACTTTCATGTATCCTCCCAATTTTTAAATAAATTATTTCAATATCTGATTCATATAATAAAACAATAAATATTAATATTTTTATTATGAAAGCTCAAATGTAACAGGATCACTTCTTACATCTAAATCAGGATTAACTTCTTGTAATAATAAACAAGTTAATTCGTAATGCGTTGATTTATAGAAATCATCCAAATATAAAATTTTTAAATGCTGCAACTTATATAAAGCACCAATACCTCTTGCTGTAATATTTGGACAATTTCTTAAATCTAAGTAAATCAGACTGTGACTAAATATATTACTAATTCTATCTAAACACCAATCATCTATGTGCTCACAACCATTAAAACTCAACCATTCCACTTTCCTTAAATCCCTCAAATTAACCAACCCTTCATAATAAAGATTCATATCACTACAGTCTATAGCTTGAAGAACCTTCTCTTCTTCATAAAATCTTGGAAGTACATATTCATTATCTTCATTTGCTTTTATCCATTTGTCTTCATTATAGAACTTTATGGAACCTCCTCTATGTACAATAAAATGTGCTGCAGCTAATTCGTTACCTAGAATACGATGTCTATCAGGTATGTACGACTGCATCATAATTTCTTTCTTTTCTTTTTGTTTAGCCCACCAATTTTTAATAGCAGATGGAGACAAGTCGATCGGAGCTTGAAGTTTTTGAAGCATACTCGTTCGATTCTCTTCTTTATAAAATACTCTTAATGCAGTGTAATACTCTCCCTCCTTTTGGTGCCAGGGTGTCCTCCATTGCATATCTGAGGCTTTAACATCTTTGAGATCAAATTGTTTGCGAACTAGTTCTTTTGGTTCTTCTGTAACAATCGAGGGAGTTGTATCTTTGTTACTAGAATATTTACAACAATAATAATGGATAGCTGGAGTCCGGGAAAATTTAAATATATTTGGAAACTTAATCATGTTTATAATCGTACAATATATTTCTTTTTTGTTCAAGTTTTAAATTGGGTAATATTTATATTTAATGTTAGGTTATGTTCTATCTTCTTTTTTTTAATTTATTTGGCATTTTACTCTGTGATCTGTTAAAAGTTTACACGTTTGTCAATTTTATGACAATCAATCTTCTTGTATATACCACTAATTGCCTCAGATAATCAGTTACTTTAGCTAACCATAAAATCAATTTATTCAGGCATATTTTTTGAAATCGGAATCATTTTCATACGGGTCGGCTTTAATAAGCCCTTCATAAATATAAAATGGTTCTTGTTTCATCTTTTGAATGATTATTTATAAAATAAGAGCAAATTATAAGGCGGTGTGCTGCCATCTATCATATTGGAGTGGTACTAAAGTCAAACTGGCTGCCAGGAGCGGACTTTTTGAAATTTAACTTCCTGCTAGCTGGGCAAAAATGTAATGAAGAAAATAAAAAAAAAAATAAGCTGGTTTTGTAGTCACAGTAGAACTTAAACACGGTTTAATTCGTTTCCTGTTTTGTATGCATTAATTTAATGCTGCGTATGAATATCCACATCGGATTAATCTGAGATGTTGTGAATTTTTTTATCACCTGATAGAGGATTAGATCTAAACGTAGATGTAATAAACAAACTCTCTAGACTTTATTAGTCACGTTATAAAATGTCAATGACTAGTAATTAGAAGTTTATACTTTTTATATTTGACTTTTGAGACTAGAAATCAATCTAAATTTGAAAATTAAACAAACTAATTACTTTTATACGCTAGCATAAAATAGGATAAATAGACAAACTTGTAACTGAACCAACTGAACTGAATCGGCCTCTGCCTTCACAGAACACCTACTTTCTGGCATGAAACGAATCTAACAAAAAATGACAAGTTTGACAACCCCTACTACAACATCTCATTTCAAATCGGGATGTAAAAAATGTAATCTGAATAGCTACATCTCGGATAAACAAACTCAGATGCAGATGTAGTAGTAGATGTAATACTTAGATTGTGTAAAGGTTTAAAAATTATTGTATTCAACATTATTAAAATATATGTTAAGAGATTTTTTTTTAAATATAAAGTTATTAAACTCTAATAATCAGTAACGTATTCCAAAGGAATCTCATATAAAAGTAAAATCAATCTGGAGCATATATATTTGGTCTATTGAAGAATTCTATTTGTAAAACATATTCAACTGTAGGCAATGGCCCGAAAGGTCTTTTTATCAAACCCCAATGTAAACCTAAATGATGATAAATTCGTTCATTTTCTTCTTCTAATACATTTTTAATTCGGTGTTTCGTTCTTTTGTTGATCATTATCGGTGGATAAACGGAAAAACCGAGGGTACAGCAAAAACATAAACAGCTACACAGCAATATTTTCATATTCAATAACATGCTTTTCTTCAATATTCTGTTGATCCTTGTTATTGTGTATTTGTATTCATCCGCAGCTGTTATAGAAATCAACTTGTTGGGCATATCTGCAGGAAAATGATTGCACAGTCCGAATATAGTGATGTTGCCATCAGGTCTAACTATTACTGATTCTTTTTGACCAGAGCTACACATTACAGTTTAACTTAAAAAATAAAATATTGAATGGTTTACGAGCACATTTTTTTAAATTTCACTTGCACAAACTGACAGTGACATTTTAATTACATAGTTGGGATAAAATAATACAGGATGTCGTCATATTTTTGGATAAATGAAATTAATGTTGTTTTATCAATAATATGGGAATATAACTTGATGGTTATCGTTTACTTCTTTATGCAATGAACAAAACAGGAGAGTTCATTAATTATTGGTAAAGCAATGCATCTTTTGAAAAAACTTGGGTTACACTTTTTGGATTGATAAAATAGAAAATTACCCTCTATAAAGTACCCCTCAGATGTTCCAAGTATGCTCAAAAATTTATCACTTCACCGTAGGATGGATTAAAGTTTAAATATAAAATTTTGTTTTTTCTCTTTATTCGTTTTAGAGTTATCTTCAAAATTTTAAATTGCACTTTTTCTCAAATATATTGAATACGGTCTATTTTAGAGAAATTATGTATAGAATAAGAATGATAGAGAATGACATTACAAACAATATTTATTTGAATAATTTTCTTAAAAATTCAAATTTTGCACTTTTTGTTAAATTTCTCGAATACGGACCATGCTCTGATTATTTTTTTATTTGACGTATCTGAACGTCAAATCTTTTCTTGTATAGATGGAGGCCAAATAGAAATAAGAAGAATAAGTAGTTTTAAATTATACTGAATACTAGTAAAGTAAAAGATTATTAAACTAATGAAAATGCAGAATTGAAATTTCGAAATTAAACGGTTTTTTAATAAAAACAAACAACAATAAAACACATAATAAATAATTTAAGATTGTGAAGAAAACGTCAAGAACCTTTTTGTACGATAAATATTATTAATGTAAGTCTGATCAATTATTATACTTTAAAAATACAATATATTTTGGCTTTTAAAATTTGGCATGTCTAAATATACACATATTCAAATAGAGGTAATTTTACGCCTATACTGGATGCAATAAAACAATATAAATTATGCAAATATCCTTAAAATCAGTAATAATTTATACTTACAACCCTTGTGAATGGTTACGTTGTTTTTATTTAACAAAAATGTACTTAGGCAGATTTTTTAACCCTAGAACACTAATATGATTTTAATATATGTCTTAAATATTGCGACGATGGGAAAATTAACTACATGGTCCAGCTGTGTTTATAGAAATGCATAAAAATTAAGGTATATCCATTGCCATTGCCCATTCAATGATTTCTTCTATTTTTCCATCAGCTGTCTATTCGACAAAACTAACGTAAAATAAGTTTTTCTAACAAAAAGTACAAGAAGAAAGTGTATATTTTTCTAATATAAGTGCATTTTGGGATTAGAAAATATTTTTGTTAAGGAAAATCGAGTTTTTCATACTCAAAATTTATGTACTTTTCATCCCTCTTTGAAGCTTGTATGTGAAAATGGGGCACCTAAACCTGTCATTAACTGACATTCTATACATATTCCTGTAATTTTCTTAATATTACTTATTTTTTAACCATATTATAGTGTTAATCTGATAATACAGTCAATTTTGTTAACATTTTGACATATATTCATAATATACATTCAGTATTATTATTTTTTAGATGTCTATTAACGATTATGAGCCACTTAATATACTAGACAACAACACTAATTCCAAAATATATAAAGTTAGAAACAAAAACACAGGTGAACATTTTGTATGGTATACCATTGATTGTGAAAACACAAGTAATCAACTAATAAATTTACAAGAAAGATTCATCACCAGAAAGGAATTACAACATCCAAATTTATTAGATTTTTATGATTTAATCAAAGAGAATGCAACATTTTATTTGGTGGTTAAGTATTGTAAACATGGTTCTTTAAAAGATCTTATGGATATCATTTACAATGATAACAAGAGATTTTCAGAAGAATTTTTATGTAAAATATTGTACCAAATCGCATTTACAATTAAAACTATTGATATCACAACAAATTTCGATATTAAACATATATATTTTGATGAGGATTATAATGTAAAATTTTTTAATTTTGATATAGCTAATAATGAAACAGTAAAACTCAAAAGTCAAAGAATATCTTCATTGGGAGCCCTGATTTTCGAAATTTGCACTCTTACTAAATTCAGTAAAAAACATTTTGATAAAGAATTGAAAAACTGTAATAATTTATATTCAAAAGAGTTTTTGTGTCTACTAATAACAACCATAAAAGATAGCAGGGATCTAAAAAAAAATATTGATAAAGTCATGTGCAATTCTACTTTATTACTCAAAATAACACAATGGCATAAATATAAATGCTTTCTAAAAATTGATCAACCAAAATGTTCCAAAAGCAATGAAAACATAGAGGACATCTATGCTTTGCAAATCGAAAAATTAAAGGAAAAGGAAATTTCTTTGCAACAAAAAGAAAAAATGTTAAAAGAGATGGAACACAAATTATCAATAAGAGAAAAGAAAGTAACATCAATGGAGAAATTGTTAAGAGATAACATCAAACAAGCTGAGGAAACAAAAAACTGTAATTGCTCTTCTAGAGGACCAATTAAAGAAAATTTAGATTCAACCTACATAAGTTGTGGGGATTCTGTTGTAATGCCAACAAGCAAAAAACTCAATGTCAGGGAAATTATCAAACCTGCTACATTCACAAGAACATTATCAGAAAAAAGGATACGCTTTAAAGGCCACAGTCCTCTAAAAGACATTGATTTTAATAGGAGGAGGAGTGTGAGGCACACTCGATTTCACAAAGATGTATATGTAAAAAATGGCGAATGGACAACATGCTCTGAAGACACAGAAAAAACTGAAAAGAAAGGAACAAATAAAAAATGCAAACAGCTTTTTCCTACATATGAAAATAATTCTAATGTAATTGTAAACAAAAATGTGGCTAAATCTTTACAATGGACTGAAGAAAATAAGAAGTATGCTTTTGAATTGCTTCGTTTAATGAATAAAGAGAATAAACCAACAGATGTAAAACACACTTATTTATAAGACAGTTTTTAAATTTTTTTATTGTTGTATTAGAATGGTTGTGATTTTGGACAGTATTTAATTTGATAGTGCAATTCATATTTTTTTATATATAAGATTCTTAAGATTTTTTTATTTTAGTGCAATTAGCCTTGTATTGTGTAGACTTTGTTAGATTATTATAGTTATATAAACATCTATTTTTTTTTTTATTACTATCTTTGATAGATTTGTTTTATTATTAATAAGCTTTATTTTAGTGCAATTATTAACATACTTTTTATGATGCTTTATAAATATTTTAATGTTTTAAAATATCATTTTATTTACCAATACTTTATCAAAATAAATTATATTTTATACTAATCTTTGAATTATTTTATACTTTTAAATCAATCTTGTACTCTCCTTACTTATATAATTTTTTTGTTTTAAAATATTAATCTATTAAAACAAAACTTTTGTGTAGGAACGGCGTTATGTAAAAAACTCAGTTAGATCTGTTTCTACATTTATAAACAAGCCAATGTTTAAGGGATCACAAGTTTGAATAAAAATTAAACCAAAGATACACAAGAGAAAATTTTAGTTGATTTTAATATGCAAATTAATACAAAGAATTCATTTTTAATACCTACCCAAACTCATCCTTTAAATAAATATATAAATACTGTATTATATTCACCATACTGTGTAATTTTTATATTCAGCAGGGATGTTAAGCAGCTTGTAACAAATTTTCATATAATTCAGAACATTTTTTAGCATTATACTCGAACAAAATAACTTAGAAGGCAGTGTAAATAAATTAAACAATTTAAACTCATAATATATTACCAAATAACTCTACAATTTTAACTGTATTTAAGGCCAGCTTGGTGCCTCACCTTCTTTGAGCACCCTGCCATAAAGAGCGCTTTTATCGCGGAAGATCGTAAGTCTTTCTGTTTCTTTCCTGTCTAGGTACCATCCAAAGGCGAATCCAAGTGCAGGGAAAATACCCATGGCAATTCCTTTAGGAAAAATCGGATACATTTTCGTCCCGTGCAAGTTTAGCTTTATATAACTGCGTTCGACTGTAATCTGCGTAAATTGTGCTGACTACAAATAGTGGTAATATCGTTACAATACAGTACCTTTTAATCAATCGACCGATTGCTAAGGCCATCTAAAAATTACATAATATTTTGAGGTTATGTTGTCCTGATAATAAGATTATTTACTTGTTTTGTTATATACTGTTTGTACTTACAAAATTTTCGTAAATGGGGTATTATTTTATTGGATTTAAAGTAATTTTATCATATTTTTCTATATTATATCGATAAAATGTCAATTTTACGTTACATTGGTATTTTTATTCTTCTTTTTATTATTTATATTAGCAACAACTAACACGGCGTATTCAGCGTCTGGTCTTTAACTAATCGAACAAGCAGCACTAAATTGTAGACTACTGTTAAATTAAGAATTTCCTTGAGCTTTTAAAAAATAGATGGAAGCAGTGTGAAAATGTGTAGGAAGGTTGAGGATTATTAAGAATTCTGGCTAACAGCTGATTATCCACTAGTATAAGTGAAATGACAAGGTTATGTATTAAAGAAAGACGAGATTATGGGGAAGATTTATGTACGAAATAAAGATGTTAGTTAGTGTAGAAAATGGCAGATTTAGGTTCAACAAATTTTGACCTTTTAGAAATAAAAACTCGTAGTATAGAACAAACATTGCTGCCTCTTGTTAAACAGGTAATGTGCTGTGTGTAGTTGCTTGTGAAACACAGACCCCACAGTGAAATTTGCATGTGTACTATTTAAAGTGGGTGTGCACTTAGCTTTGGCAGTAAAATAGAAATAGTTTTTGGTGTTGTGATAGTGTTTTTATGTTAATAATTTAGTATACATTACAATAACCTCTGTTTTATGTTGTGAAATTTTATTTATATACATATGTATTGACGTGGTTGTGTCTAAACAGCCGATCCCGTGTGCCGGCTATCCCTTGTTTGTAGCGGCTTTTAAAACTAAATAAATTGAAATGTTTATATATTATTATCATAGCAAAATACAATATCTGATTATATGTATTGATTTTTAATTTGTTACACATGATGATTATCGGCATGCTTCTATTATCAAAATAAGCCCCTTTTTTAATCGCTCGTGCCGCGGTTCGTAGACGATACGGTGGTCTTGTTCGATTGTTATGGATGGGGGCGTGACGTCACAAAATGAAATATCGAGATAGATGACAGAAAATATTCTGCCGTGTTTCGGAAGATCTACAGGGTCAATTTCTATCTTCCTATCCACTGTTTAGGAAATTTTTGGTTTAAATATGCCTCGGCATTATGCGAAAAATATCCTTTAAAAGGTTCCGGACATCTTCCTTCAATAATGTTGCAAATGTTTTTCCATTTAAATGGCCATAGCCCTATAAACTGTCTTACTTTATTCCACAATAAACGTTGTCGTTGTTTGTATACAGTTATGTCAATCTACAATTTAAAATTCATGTTTATAAATTAAGAATTATCATCACCGCTGTCATCTTCACTTGACATATCATCCAAATTTATGATGCAAGAATGAGCCAGAAATATTTTATAATTGTTTTCAATATTCTTGACATGACGAACACAATTGGTCCATAATTCTGGAGATATTTATATTATGTATATTTCTAATTATTAACCACCAATTTTCAAACTGTATATCGAAAAAATTTCTGTTATTTATTTATTATAATCCCCTTGGATCAGTTTTAGTTAATCTTTTTAAAATTTCCGAAATTTCAATTTTTTTTTTATTAATAGCCTTTAAACTTTAATTCTTATTCTCTCTCTATGTAAGTCCGCATCTACGCCATTCCTTATGCATTGAAAAAGTGCACAATACAAGGGATGTCGTCTCAGACGCCATATCCTGAGATAAAATGTAAATGCTCAAGATTCTTAAAAAACGAAACGGAATAGAATAGGAACGTGGGCTTCTATTCATCATAGACGTTGAATACATTTGCTGGCAATGAGATGGTAATTGGACGTTCTCGCGATGGCTGGTCTTCCATTCAACACTTTTGGTTTTGAAGCTTTATTTGCTAGCATTCTGATAGTTCCGCAATGAAATAGAACAACTTATTTATATGAAAATAACAAATTAGACTTTTTGACGTTATTTTGCCAATAAAATTCATGTTTTAGATAAATATTTAAACTATATTATGGAAACACTATCGATATTAATTTTCAAGATTCAGAAAACGCATTAAAGACTTTAATGATAGTTTCTCATACCTTCAATGCATACTAATTTGATTAATTTATGCATCGGCATGCTTTTAAGAACTGACTTATAGATTGTAACGACAAAATCAAATATTAGCAGATCTTAGCTTAGAACATTATATTTTCGCTCATCAAAAATTTGTAGACTAATAAAAAAACTGGGCTTAAGTAATATTAATTTAAAATATTCATATAGGGTGGCGGAAATTCAATTTAAACATTATGTAGATGTCGCTAACTGTAATAGATACTATTAAAGAGTAATATAATATATTTAAATCTAGAAATGTTCAGAAGCATCAACTAACAGATCTTCAAAGCATTTATCACTGTGGAAAATATTGAAAAACTTTAGCAAATTATTTTCTTGTTAAGAATTTTTACTTCTGCTCCTGGTGCTTGTTACTTAACCATTAAAGTCCATCCTAAATGGGTCTCAACAGCAATCAAACCACAGGATATATAACTTTACTAGTCAATAACCTACTAGAAACGTCTGCACTAATTAAAACTTCAACTTCAAGAGGTTACAACTATATCCACGTAAACTAATTCAGCTTCCCATGGACCACGGCTTACTGATTAAAGTTCTCCGTATATTTTTGGTTGATCTAAAGCTATAAATAATTAATTGAATCTATGTGATACAACATAAAATGTGCCTTTCAGCCATTTGTTAGCATTACATTGTTGGCAGCACTAATCGTTCAGTGTATAATCCTACAAATGATCTGGATTTATGTCATCCAAAACGGATTTGTACGAAAGATGGATAAAAAAAAGAATTCAGGAAGAGAAATGATGAAGCCGTTAAGCTCAGGTTTCCTTATTTGAATAAATAAAAATCGGGCGCCAATAGCTCTCGATTGAAAATCATTCAATATTCTGGAGAGGCCGTTTTTCAGACATTTCTTTCACTTTCGAATAAGAGTAAGAGCGAATGCGATAAGGGCAGTATCAAGTTATTCAGCGTTTAAGCATAATTTATTAGGTGTTAAACTTAAGAGTATATGTGTGTATTAAAATAATTTTCCAAACACGTGCGAAAAGTGACTAAAGTGAGGAAACAGTACAGTATATTAAAAGTGTAAAAATTAGCCCTACTCATCAGTTGATGAGCTACGATAATTCCACACGTAGTTACAGTGACACAGGGAAAAATACTGCTCTATAACTTTCTTAGTAGCCCAGAAAGAACAGCAACTATCAAGAGCTTTGGGGTTCCACACAAAATGGTAAAGAAAATACCAAAGGCAAAAATAGTACCTATAAGCACTAGGTCATGGCAAACTAACCCTAGAATTTAATCAATATAAATGCTACATTTCAATACTATAAAACATCGAGACGTACTCTCAAATTTCCACTAGTTCGCTATAATAAATGTTAGCAATAAAAATGACAGATTCCTTTGGAAATCATATAAATAAATATGTACAAATTTACAAGGTCACTTACTGCGACGTTAAAAAATGTTAAAAATACTTAACATTTGTTTGTGACAAAAGAACATTGTTAAAATAGGTACTTGCTTTAAGGGACGGCTAAATGTCTGAAAGGATGAAGAGTTTCTTTTTATCTATGCCCTTTTAAACATTTAAAAATTCCTTTTTTTTTAAATTGAATACTCAGAATATTATTCCACTACTTATTTAATATTATAGGTACTAAAAGTGATACTTTTTGACACATTTTTATTTTAATTAGTAATTTAATCATGATAGAGATTACTAAATTTCCTCGTAATAATTTTTTTGAGTTTAAAATTTTAAATATTTCCAACCTCTGTGTCCTTTTATCGACATTTGCAGCAAGAAATTGTCCCATTTTGAAGACGATATCAGTATCAAATTGAAACTGCAAATTCTCAGGTTGTCGTAGGAAATAGGAATTGCTGTCCTGTGGGAATAAATACTTTCTTCTTTTCTATATTTTATTTTGTTATTCTTGTCATGAAATCTTGATTTTATTTTACACTGTCAATTTCTCTGGAGACCACCGTTATAATAAATAAAAAATGTATAGTGAGAGGAAGTTTCAAAGCAACAATGCGAGAAGGTACTTTGCAATTTTTAATTTTTTATATATTCTTTAAGATTATAACATATAATAATCGATGATTTTCTGATTAAAAATAAGACGATTAAACAAAATATGCTTAGATCAGGTCCGCGTCCAGGTTTCGGTGCACCAGGTGTTCAGGGGATCGTTTTCGACGTGAAATTTAGATTTAGTGCCCCAAAAAAGGCCCCCACAATTATTTTCGGGTTGTTTTTGGCAATCTGGTCAGGAAAACTCTCGGGGATGACATCCACGTCCAGATTAGGGCGCACCAGGTGTCGTGGGTGTTCGCCGATCCCACATTTGAATTTAGCACCCCAAAAAACCCTCCATAACGATTTTCGGTTCGTTTTTTTCGATTGTGGGATAAAAACTCACGGAGATGGGGTCCGCGCCCAGGTTCCTGTGTACCAGGTGTTCAGGTGATCGTTTTCGACGTGAAATTTAGATTCAGCTCAGCGCCCCAAAAAACGCTCCCACAATTATTTTCGGGTTGTTTTTGGCGATCTTGTCAGGAAAACTCTCGGGGATGACGTCCACGTCCAGATTCGGGCGCACCAGGTGCCACATTTGAATTTAGCACCCCAAAAAAATCCTCATAACGATTTTCGGTTCGTCTTTTATGAGTGTGTGAGGAAAACTCACGGAGATGAGATCCGCGCCCAGGTTCCGGTGCACCAGCTGTTCAGGGGGTCGTTTTCGACGTGAAATTTAGATTCCCCAAAAAATGCCTCCACAATGATTTTCGGGTTGTTTTTGGCGATCTTGTCAGGAAAATTCTCGAAGATGACGTCCACGTCCAGGTTCCGGTACACCAGATGTCCGGGGGGTGTTGCCCGATACCATATTTGAATTTAGCGACCCAAAAAACCCCCGGGTGCTAAGTTTCTCTCCTTCCCTGCGTGAATTTCGGGAGAGTCCCAAGGAGATAACGTCCATCGACGTTCCTGAGCACCAGATCGGCCGTGGGTCAATTTGAACATCATAATCGTGATCAGCGTCCTTGAAAATCCCCGTGAACTCGATTTGGGCCAGTTCTGACTCTTATTTACAAAGTTCTTTAATCTTCCAAAAGCTGTCTCAAAAAATGCATTTTTATAAGATAAAAAGTAGGGACATCTTAGTCTAAAAAATTCCGAACTTTTGTCCTTTTTAGTGCTTCATTGCCTCGACTATATGGACAGTTGAATTACCCGTCAAAATATGAAACTTCGTTCATTGAACCGACATCTCTATATATATTACGCAAATTAAGTCCGGACCACCCTGTATAGTCGTTGATTTAAGCTGTCCAACAACGTATTGTGTGTTGCATATCTACCTTTTTAAACAATTACTTATATTCATATAAAATTGCATTATCTATTTAATATTTCATTTCTGTCTCGTTGTAATTTAATTTAACAATTTTATCTTCTTATTAATATTAATATTTTTCGCAAAAAATTGTCTTATTTAGTGGATCTATTTTTTGATCGATTGATGCGCATTAGATCACTGCGCGTAAAGATGAAATGAACCAACGCTCCGCGGTGACCGGTGAGTCAAGTCTGTCATTCGTCGTTTGCGGTTTAAACTTTAAAGATTCGTAATTATCGATCGTCGCGATATAGATCTTAACTTTTATCGGTAAATTGTACATAAAGTGAATCGTTTATTTATAGTGTCTTTCCATGTGTTTAGTAAAAGTTCAAGTTATTTGGATTGGGATTACAGGTAAATACATTCACATAAATTTAAACTTTATATCGTTGATACAATACGTGCTGTGTCAAAAAAATCATAAATTCACTTTATTATTTGAAAGTATGCAACCAATAGTGCTTCATATATTGTATTATGTTAGATATTCATATTAAAAATATGTTTATATCTAGCAATACGATTTATGTATGGATTCTTATGTAGTATCTACCTATTAGCATTTTATAGTCTCCTGTGATAGTAGTTTTTCGGGATAATACGTAGTAGATAAAAATATAGCGCAAATTAAATCCGAAATGATATTATTTTCAATTTTTCTTATAACTGAGATGATTCACAGATCTAGAATGTTAGAAGATAGCTATGCAATAAATCATAAAAAATGTATTAAAGTGAGCCGCCATCTTCTTAATTTTGGGATTAGCGAGTATGCGCAGAAAGGAGTAAACAGATCCGTATTTAGAATGTTGGACAAAAAACTATTTTGTTTATGAAATGAAATGTTTTTTTTTAAATTCTTTCTTTTTTAATATTTTGACAAATTTATAGTGAAAAAGAAAATAGAAAACAAAACTAGTAAACGTGTTTATATTTATTTAAAGTAAAAAAAAATAGTAGTTTGTGCAACGAGGTGGATATGATGGCCATATCGCACGAAGACTAAGTTTAAGCACGACGCCGTAGGCTTCATATAAGTCATTATATGAGAGTTGAACACTATATTTTATCTACGACGTTATTTATCATCAAATATTGATAGAATGTCCTTTTTCACTCTATAAAACAAATATTAGTATTTAATTATTATAATTTCAGTACTTATTGTTTTTAATTCATTAAGAATCAATTTATGAACCTTATTTATTTCCAAATAAACATTCTTGTTGTCAATAAAATATAATAATCAAAAATATAACAATAATAAAATAATAATAGCAACACACTGGGACTAATCTTATACATTTACTTATATGCAATCCTTTACCTCGTCTTTTTCTCTTTATTGCCTTCAATTCAATATTTTTTATGAGTTCTACATCAATTTCAGTGCCACACAAACCCTGATAATTTATAGCACATCCTGTTCCTTCAGGACAATTCGTACACGGTTCACCTGCAATCAAGCAATACATATTTTAACAAGGAGAATAATAATATACTGAATGTTAGCTCAAAGCGTTTGTTTTGGATCTCGGATTTCTCAATAAAATGTGAATTTAAAGGAAATTGATACCGTTTTGCATTGAGGGTTTCTTTTTAAAAAGTCTTTGTCAGTTTTTGTTAATACTTTTTATTCTTCGTCGCTGCAACACGTTTAATATACTGGGTGACAATTTAAAAACGAACAGCATTTAACACATTGAGTGCTGATGATATTCTCTCATTATGAATACTCAATATTTTGGCCAAAAGCCGCCAGTGCATTTATTATATATATTTTCTTACCAGTTTTATAAACAGCTTGCCCTGGTATGTTACCCATAGGTCCATAGTTGCAGATAAAATGTTCGTGGTATGACGTATTTCCTCTACCCGTGGTTTGTTGAAACAAAACTCTAGCGCAGCCTATCTGATAGGTTTCTGCCCAGACAAGTTGGGTGTATTGTCGAAGTGGACTTTTTAATCTAGAAAATATCGGTATAATATTAAATTTCTTTTTTATAAAAATATTATGGTTATTATAAAACTTTTAATAAATACAAGAAATCAATTAAAATAAAAAATAAAAATCGTAGCCTTGAAAGAAAGGCTTGCTATGAAGATTATAGAAGTTTGTTATTTAAGTATTTATATTTTTAAATTTGTTTTATAGTATTTGTAGGTCATGGTATATTTTAGATTTTTTTTTTTAAGAATCACAGTTTAGTAGAATCAATCCATAATATATTTCATAACCAACTTTATAGCAAATAGAATGAGAATATTTTTTTAAGATAGACTTTTAATAATTTTTTAATTTGTAAAATACTCACGAAAGTTGAAATGATGTAAGATCTTGCTCACCGACATACTGAACTAAATCAAACCAACTGATAATAAAGGAAAGGTCGTTACTGATTGCAAAATTTCCTCTAGCAATGTTTTGCCCAACCGGGTATTTGGTTGTATCTCTGCATAAATCGTGGGCGAAAATGCATTGCGATGCCCATCTATGGGCTATAAGAGCTAGATCTACATTCCATTCCAATAGTCGCATGTTTGAGGCTGTTGGCTGTGGACCTGGATTGCCTCTTTCTTCTTTGCCCGTTGCCACTTTGTTCCTCATCTAAAAATGTATATAACTTGATTGGGTTTCTGGTCAGTAATTTAATATTAAAACAATTAAAACTAAAAAATTTGAGTAATTATAATTTATAGAAATCTACTAAAATATACAAAAAAATATTCTACTAAAAACTAACCAAAATAGTAGAAATCTAATAAATGTGGCAGTCCTTTAAAAATTACTGAATTTTGGCACTGTTTTCTTGCAATTTGCGTATCTCTGAATTCCTGCATCATATCATAATGCAGATTACTTTTTTAAGTCGTGTAATTTTCATTATTAAATTTTATGGTTTAAAGACGAGCCAAATACCTATTTAGCGTAATATATATTATCAAAACAACAGTATAGCTTTTATTACACAGTTATTTTTAGCGAACAATTTTTTAAAATAAACCGATATTTCAATATAAGAAGCTCTTTGCATAAATACCGTGTTGTGTGCATCTAAAATAACATCAATTTCATCTTCTGATAAAGGAATATCAAGAAAACCTTTACATCCTGGTCCATATATCCCGTTCTGGTAAAGGCACATGGTGTGTTTCCCACATGTTTTAGCTAAGGTGTTCTTTGTCGTGTCTATACAGCATATCGAACAATAAGGATTTTTTGAGGATAATCGTTGTATAAAATTATTAAACCATTTTTTGGTTGAGTTTTTTGTTAGATAGTTTGCATTTTCTTCAGCTGTGTGCGATATAAAATAGTAAACAATAATAATTGCAAGTTTGTAAAAATTCATAACTTTGACAACATTTTGAAAGACATTTCTGTTTAGAAGAATTAGACAGGTCCTTTCTATAGAAGTTATTTTACGCATATTATTTGAATCATTGGTCCATCTTATTTTGGCGATATTTTAAAAGTAACTGTATTAAATTTATGATTGATAATTTCATTGTTTCTTTTTGTGAATTTGATGTAATTACTCAAAGAAACCTGTAATTGACAAAAAGTCATTTTTTAGCGATATTTATTAACTGTTTTTAGTGATTTCAACAGCTGTCTGTAGATTTATTGCCTAATTTTATAATTTTTGTACATTTTTCTACCTTATCCTACAATTTTTGTGAAAAATATTTATTTTCTCAAAATTTTCAATGAAAAATAGTGAAACAAACCGTATTTATATATTCTTACCTTCTTTGGTGACATGGTGATATTTTCTAACAAACAAAATTCTAAACAATGCTCTCCCTATTGGAAATTCTGGTAAACATCGTTTGCACATAGAAAATCCATTACAAAATTTTCCAGCGAGAAAGGTAATTTTAAATTGGAGTGTTTTTGCGGCGAAATATCAGATATGCATGAAAAGTTTTGAAAATGTCCATGTTTGTTCGTATAGTGGAACAAACGGATCATTATATATATATATATATGTATGAGCTTTTAAGGCTACTAAATTTTGACAATGGTTTCAATTTAAAATAAAATTGAAAATGTACGAATGTGAAACTAATAAATATATGTTGGTGCTATAAAATAGGAATAAATCATTCGCATTACTGTATGGAAATATGATTATATTTATTATAAAAATAAGATTTGAAACATTTCTGGACAAAAATAATGTAATTTTAATTTCCAAAGTAACAAGTAAAATTTTGTTAACCATCAGCAATTGTTGGAAACACATGAGCAGTATAAAAGATGTAAAATGTGAAATACCCCAAGGCGCAGGGTTTCTTAAGATATTTTTCGCCCTTAATTGTGTATACCAGTTAGTTGTTCCTGGATCTTGCTAAGTCATTTGACACTATTAACCATCAGCAATTGTTGAAAACCTTGGCATATGCGAGAGTAAGGGGTAGTGCGCTTGAGGTTTTTAAGATTTATCTATTGAATAGAAAGCAATGTATTCAAATAAAAGAACACATGAGTAGTGTAAAAGATGTAAAATGTGAAATACCCTAATGCGCAGTGGCTGGCCTAATTTTATTTAACGTATACTTTAATGTTAGTTGCAGTTTTCTATTTCTTAAGATATTTTTCGCCCTTAATTGTATATACCAGTCAGTTGTACCTATCATAGGTTTTAATTTACTTTTAAGCCTAATTATGGCTCTAGATCCGAAATCTATTTTTTAAAACGCTCAGTGCTTATAGAATTTAACCAAAGATATTTGATGTATAGGATCTCTATGAATTTAACTCTTATGTTTTTACGTTTCAGTTTCAACCCAACATAACTATTTTCAATTAAACACCATAATAATTCTCACGATTCCTCTTAAATATTTGCAAATTTAATCATGCGTTCTCGCGTAGAATACTATTTCACTCTATATAAATTTCCCTTCTTGTAAGAAGATTGTTTGGAGACTTGTTAAAATGGGAGTAAGAAAGATAAATTGCAGAGAAGCCTCTTGATTACAGTTTCAATAGAAATTTTCTCTCGTTCTCTTGAATTATTACCATGTAAATCATGAAAATGTCGTTTTCGGCCATGGATAGTTTACTCGTAGAATTTCTAATTGAAAACATCGATCATTGGTCCGAAGAAGATTTGTTTTAAATTACATAATTCGAAATAATCAGCTTAAAAATTGTTTGAAAGTATTTAGAAAAGCAAAATAATCTAAGGAGAAGGGCTTCAAACACGCTTTGGGATCTAAATCGTATTGCAATATAAGTAGAGATAAAAAAAGGATTAGGCTGTTGAAAAACCGACAATTGGAATGATATCGTGTGGCTAAAACAGTTTTAGATATTTCTTTGTGACTATCTAAGCAAGAAAAGGTTACGTAAACTTGAGTCGGACCTGTCTAAGTCAGCACCGTTATAGCACAGAATAGAGAACAATACAGAAAAGAAACAGTGCTAGTTTCACTACAGAGATACTCTGAGAAAAAGTATCTATTGATAGTACACCATACGGAGAATAGGTACGTTTTCTCAGAGTATTTTTGTGATTATACTTTCATTCTTGATGTATGGAGTTGGATCTTTATACTATTTCTATGGGTCTAAAATATACACCCTGGTCCAATTTTAGAAAGTTTTGTACAAAATCGTTATACATAATTATTATAACTGAAAAATTCTGAAAAATACGGTACTAAAATTTACATATTAGAAGAAACAATGCAATAATAATGCTGTACTTATGATAAACACTAGGTTTATTGTTATACACACAATATATAGCAACGACAATATGCAAATTTTGCCGCAGAAACAATAACCTCCCTAAACAAAACATTGCTGCTCATAAAATAACAATAGAATGTTAGCTATACAGCAAACAAAACCCTCGCTCTTTTAAAGCCTTCGGTATTAATTTTTATGCTTAAAATAACGCTCTATCATTATCGTAAATATGGATTTGATTCGGTGATTCTAAATATCGATAATTGCTACTATAATCCTCTATAACAAATCTGGATAAACTCGAATCGTTTGAAGTTTTCATTTGCGGATAAAATGAAATTTTGTATCACGAAAAGTAATTTGAATAATTTTGAGATAATTCCTCCGTTATATAAAATGAATTGCTTAAAATGCAAATTTCAGTAAAGGTTAGAAGTTTTGATTAAGTTTTAAATAATCTACTTTTAGATGCTTGCATAAATTTAAGCCAAGAATTGTGGTTATATCTTTGTTATTATATTTACTGAAGTAAAAATTTTCATACCCAAAATCCACACAGTCTTTAATTTTTATGGTATTTAGTAGACACCGAGATCTCTCGTAAAATATTTTAATTGCTTCATCCACGCTGCCGAACTGATATAGGTGGGTCCAATCAATTGATATAAACTGGAAAAATAAGCTTTTTTAAAATTATATTCTTTAGTCTTTAGAGTAATCTTAATGGAAATATCAACAGAAAGGGCAGGGTGTTGTGGATCTAGTCGCAAGAGTTCAGATGTTTGAGATAACGAGGTCAAGGATTCTGTTATTGCAGTTAAGTATTGTATTATGTTGAGACATATTAATAAATAGGATGTGCTTGCTCATCTAACCAAGGGCATTTCACTTTTGTTTCATTTATTACAGCTTATTTACAATCTGGATGGTTATTCTAGAATTCAAAAGAATAGACCAGCATTTTCTCTTTATTTGTAACGTACAAAATTTGTATTTAACTTGTTTCTATCTTCTGAGATTCAGGTATAAATATCCTGGTCTTTAGTAAAAAGAAACAATATGTAACTGACTAAAGAAGCTGTCTCACTTTACAAGCGGACTTGGTATAAACCACGCCACTTTCTTAAACCAAACAAGATAGTGTCAAACACAAGCTTTTTAGACTCAACTAACAGACATTTTTGTAAATTTAACATTAAAATAAATGCTATATTCATAAGATATTGTGACGAAAGTCTAATTTATTTTTAGTTTATTTATTTAAAAACACACTATTTACAATTTATTTCAGACTTACTATTTAATTTATATATAATACTTAGACAAGACACTAACTAACAATTCTAATTTATTTCTTACACTTTTACTTATCAATACAACGTTCTATATTAAACTGAACTCGGCGCTGATACGTCGGCTATTTTTATTAATCCCACTCCGCTACTGGAAAATGCTAGAGGTTCGCGAAGATTCTACTCTTATGACTAAACGGCACTCCCCGCCGTTCCAGCTGTTTCCAGTGCATCAGCGGCAGACATTCCGTCGTATTCTTGTATATCGAGACGTGGGTCGGCTGTTTCCACACGTCAGCGTTGCTTCGATTACGAGTCGGTTGCCATGTGAAGGCCGCGTGCGTACACAGGGTAGGCTTTAAGAATGTTCATGACAATATTTTAAGCCAGGCATGTTATGTGAAACATTTTCACCAATCAACTATTTGTTAAGTGCTTGTTATATTAAGTTCAAAGTTTAAGGAGATAAAATAAAACCAATTATAATTAAAATAAGGTACTTTAATGTTTACATACAAGAGTTGTCACTTAATTATCTACTACAATCCACGTTTTTCTTGATACAAAGGAAATTAACATTTTGTGATACAACTATTTTACGTAGGTGCTATTATTCATTTTTAACGCTGTCTTTTTTAAAACATTTCAGATTTATTTTTAACGAAATAAAAGAGTTATATAACCTCGAATGTTATTTTCCATACCGTCGCGCATATAAAGATATTAAATTTTCTGTAGATAAGATCTGGAGATGTCAAATCATCCAGGTCAGTGAATATAAGAATCGAATGGAGCAGGTCTCTAATGGAAGACCGAAGAGCTTTGAGTTCGCTTCAATATAAATTCATCTCATCTTTCTAAAGCTATCGAGATATATTTTTGACGAGATCAACTAGCTGCACGAAATAACCGCAGAATTTATGTGGGACGCAATTTGATATTACTATCTATCTTGAAAAAGGACGAGTTATTTTTGATTAGGTTTTTTTTTATGTCTCAATACTTTTTAAAACTTTGTCTTGTGAAAATGTAACTTGTAATGACTGACATCGACATATTCCACCTGCACGCTTTCAACAGTAGAAATAAACTAAATTATAAATCTAATTGATCGGAGCAAGTAAAGAACATTTAATTTTGGGATTTAGTTTAAATTACATTAAGTATTAATTATCTTTAGATATCTTTGGATAAAAATACATCTAAATTTCCTTTTCGATGTCAGTAGACCATTATTAACAGTCGCGATGAAAAAACCCATAAAAAATTTCCGAAGTGAAGGCGAGAGTCATATCCGACCAAGACATATCAATAATCAAACAAGTGTGTACTTTCCATAATGCGTCGAGTCTTGTGTAAGGTAAGTATGGAGCGAATCTGCAGGAATATTATCTACAGGCGGGATAATAACCGAAATTACGGGGGCTTGCGCGAG